TTTTTTTTTTTTTTTGATTTTTCAAGACAAGGTTTCTCTCTAGCTCTGGAGCCTGTCCTGGAACTAGCTCTTGTAGACCAGGCTGGCCTTGAACTCACAGAGTTCTCTGCCTCCCGAGTGCTGGGATTAAAGGCATGTGCCACCACGGCCTGGTTTGAAATTCCTTTTTTTTTTTTTTAAGGGGCTGAACACCCAACAAACCTGCTGCCATCGCAGATAAGCATATCTTACTTGGTCCTCTTTACTATTGTTTTCTGACTTTCATGAAGCTTTAAAATATCACACACTTAACATAGATGAAGTCTTTCCTTTCAATTTCCTTATCTAATTTTCTTTAGAACTCTAAACTTCAGGTTTTAGTTTTTTTCTTATATGTGAAAACCAAGCAAAAGCATTTACTCACTGTATTTTCCTCTGAAGAAGTCAATTAAAAACAACCTCTACATTATATGCTAAGGGAAGTAAACGCTACCACACTTTATCATACGACAATGTAACTCACTACCACAACAAAATGATAGAAGTAAAAACCCGAGGCAAGTGAGAGATCTGATTCAAGCAAACACGCCATCCCCATGATCACTCTACACCTGCCGCTCTGTTCTCCATCAGCAGGTTCCAGAAAGCCTCAGGTAAACCACAAGACAGACTTCCACCCGAGAAATACCATAGTCTCCCACGCAGGCCAGGTTAGGGCAGCAAGTTCTAACAGGCACCTTGGGAGTGGGGACTGGGACAAAGTGGAATGACTTTCCCTCCCCAGACCCAAATACCAAGGGTGCCAAGACCCAGATGCCAGGTTTCAACACATTAGTAAATGATGACAAGAAGCAAACTAGCATTGCTAGTTAACTGCTCCCTTACAAGTCTAAGCGGTAAATCCATACCTCCTTTTATTACTTTAAGTAAGACTTTTAAGAAAACCTTAAATGAGTGTTCAAGTTAAGCTGTCTAGACAAACAACAAGGATGACTAGTCTCACTATGCCCCTTACCAGTGTAATGATCTGTCCTGTCTCTTTAGGACACAAGCCATGCCCACTCCCTCCTCCTTCCCCTGAGGCAGGCAGATCTTCCTTCCTGCTTGCAGCCTGAGTCCCTGTCAAAGAGGGACTCCCCACTTCTCCCCTTCCCCCTCCTGTCTGACTCTCTCTTTCTGTCTGCCTCTCTGTTCTTCTCCCCTTCTCCCTTCTCCCTCCATAACCCACTAAATAAATATCCAACCTCACTCTGCATGGTGTCCTATCCACTGTCTCTTGCCCACAGCTTGGGACCAGCTGCCTTTGGAGACCTGAATCGTGGTAGTGTGCCATCCCTGCCTGGGCCTGGCTTCTCTGGGGCCTGCTGCCTGCCCCTGTTCAGGGACCTGCGGTGGTCTCATGGCCCACTGCCCTTAGCAGCCAGTCAGGATCTGCAGCATTTTTAATTAATCCATTACATTGGTGCCATGACTCGGATGGCCCACTGCCGCTGCTCGGGGACCTGCACCAGTCTCTGCCTAGGACTGGCTGCCTGCACTTGGGGATGCACAGCATATTTTCATTAATCCATTACAACCAGCAAAGTAATTCTGAACACATTTTTATGATTTGAGATACAACCAAGTAGTCTCATATGCAAAATAAACACAGTAATACTCATTTCAAAAGAGTCACTCTGGAAACTGAAAAAGAAAATACTATGTAAAAGATTCTGTAGTACCCAACATCCTATGAGCATCTTAGGTAGATACCTACAAATGAAAGCTGTCACGACTGTAAAGTTCTAAGACTGAAGTTTACTATCCAAATTTTTCTAACACCTTTATTCACATTTGTCTTACGTTACAGTAACAAGTATTGTACAAGCCCCCTTCCCACCCATCACAAATAAACTACCTTCTCAATAATGGGCTTCATTAAAATTCCTTCTGGAAATATCAGTGCTACAAATCACAGCCACTTACTCAGTTCATGGGACATGGACTAATGTGTACTACTACAGAAAAGGCTGGGAAGAGATTTTCAAAAGTTGAAGCTCTATAGTAATATGTATTTATTATCCACTTGTGGCTTTTTTCTATTAAAGCACAAAATTATTCTTTATCTAGTTTTTCTCATGGTTACATATTCTGATTATATCAATTACTTGTTTTGCCAAGTACTCTAGGTTATAACATCAAAGTCTCACTATTAAGGAAGTCCTCTGACGGGACATTCATTGCATAAAAATTATGTTTCCATGACAATTCGCTACAAATACACTAGTTTGAGCATATACCCTCATTTCATGAGTACCACCTAATAAAAGTAGAGAATTTTTTTATTCTTTTATTTTGTTATATATGTGTACATTCTATTTGCGTGTGTTTATTGTGTGTATACCACATCTATTTAAGTACCTGTGGAGGTAAGAAGTGGATTTCCTGGAGCTAGAGTTACAAGTGGTTATCTCTATTTCTATTAATACCATCATGTCCAATCCTTTGTCCCAGGACTCAAGAACCTTGGAATCCCAAGAGGTGCACTCAAGACCATGATCCATATCCATAACATTTGGAAGGGAAAGTAAGTTTCTTCAAATACCACTAAACTCTTGAAGAGCAGTTAATGTAACCTATGTATGGTGGTGGGAGAGGAAGAAGAAGGGAAAGAAGGAGAAGAAGGAGGGGAAGACAGGGGGAAGGAAGGAAAGAAGAAAGAAGGGAAGACAGGGGGAAGGAAGGGAAGGAGAGGATAAAGGAAAGGAAGATGGAGGAGGGAAGAAGAAGGACAGTGTGGAGGCCAAAAAATGCAGGCCCATTTCTACTTTGTCTGATTGTCAGAAAGTTTGGAGGTCTGACAAGCACAGCAAGACCTAACTCAGGAGGTGATTGCTTGGTTCTTTAGAAATTAAGATAGCTCAATCTAGTAAGTCCATGCCATCATTATAAGGAGTCAGGAAAAATGTACTTCTACTCCTTCTTTAGTAACTATGAGGTCTCCTAGGAAAGTGCAGTCTTCAGAATAGGTGACCTAGAGCACCTTTGCTACCTAGACAACAGAATGCTAATGACTATGTTTCAGTGATAAAGCCATTGCCTGTGTGAGTTATCCTTTGTATAATGTTAACAAAGTCTTTTGTTACCTTCTCCCAACTCACCCCCCAGTTTGTGTTGGGTATAAAAGCTGCGGAAAAGTAAACACAAGGGAATTTCAGGATTTCAGTCATTAGAATGCCCTCCCAATACTTTCTATGTTTGCTATCTTGTTATTTTTATTCACCTTCATTTTCTTTACTTATATTTCTTCAATTCCCACACCCCTCAACAGAAGGGGAAGGTGGGGAAGAAGAAGGGGGAAGAAGGAAGGGAAGAAGAGGAGGGGAATGAAAAGGAGGAGGAGGAGGAGAAGAAGAGAGGGGAAGAGTCAGTTTTCTTTAAGGGTGTGGTCCCTCATGGGTTGCCCACGCTCCAGTGGAAATACACACATCCAAGGTTATACGGGTCACACAGTGAGTGTGATGGGCTTAAGGGAAATAAAGAGGATGACACAAAGTGGGAGAGGATCTGAGTGTAGTTTGGGGAGAGATGACTTAAATTTTCAAAGAACTAATTAAAGAGAAAAAGACTTAAAAACAACTCTAATTGAAAAAATGGAAATAAGCATTAACAAGATTGACTTACAAAGAAAAATATACTAAACAATAAATCAAGAATGACCAAGCAGGGCGGTGGTGGCGCACGCCTTTAATCCCAGCACTTGGGAGGCAGAGGCAGGTGGATCTCTGTGAGTTTGAGACCAGCCTGGTCTACAAGAGCTAGTTCCAGGACAGGCTCCAAAGCCACAGAGAAACCCTGTCTCGAAAAACCAAAA